TGCAATAATCTTGCGACACCCTTGCACAAAACGACGATCATTTTTCTAATTTCATAGATAACAGAAGACTGTATTTTTTCTACATAACCCCCCCTTAACTTTAAAGCTGGATCCACCCCTGTATGTATCTATTCGAGAAGTCACCAGCGAAGAAATAACACAATTTAATGGATGCAAATTCGATTCGCCCACCATATCTGGAACAATTGTGACGCTAATCAGGATTGTTTGGTCACACTTACTTAATATGCAATCAACTATTTCCTCTGTCTGTTTTATGCCTTATGCATTTGCGTATTGTTGAAAAAACACGACGCGTACAGTCTGAAGGTGAACGCAGTAGCATATGCAGCATACGACTTAACAACTATTTGGGCTCAGAACTGATGAATTTGTCCAAAAAACAATTTCACCGAAAACTGTGTTCTGTTTACGCTGCAAACAACTAAAGGTCAAAGTTTTCCTTCAATTCCAAGCAATTTCCAAAGATCCAGTTGAATTTTTGGCACGTTTTATGGGTTTAGCTTATATAGGGTAGGCATAAAGTAGCAAAAATGCCATTCTATTTGCACTGCAAACCGAAGTTTGCTTAATTAGTTAGGAACTTTCGAAGATCAACTTTGCAAAACTGCCACATGCTGCAGGTACTTATAGCTTAAAGCTTTCATTCTGACCAATCGGGGGCAGTTGGGAGGCAATTTTTTGCTCATTTTGCATCAAAAAGTCCGAAGTTTCCTTGATTTACACAAGTTGTATTTCTGCCACCTGCTGCTGGCCCATCTTCATTCTAACCAATCCAGGGCGGTTGTAGCGAAAAGCGGAAACTCTGTTCTATTTAGTCAGTAAATCTTCTGATGCTACAGCTTTTTGCAGTTATTTGAAAAAACTCCAATTAAGTAGGTTTGTATAAGCCAATGCAAAGGGGACCAAAATCAGTCTTTAAAGCTAAATAGTTGGTGATTGCCGCTGTAACGGCAAGAAACATAAAAGCATAAAATGCCTGTATGAAGAAAATAGAGAGCAGAGTGAGGTAAGTGCCTTACCTATTGCCAAAGTTGTTCTTCCAGAATTCGGCAGCATCAGACTTGGTGATTCGGAACTGGTCCCCAGCGAACCACCCGTTCGGGAAAAGCGCTTTGAGTTCACTTAACATATGACTAAACACTAAACTTAATTTGGTTAAATTTCGACGATAATGCGAGTTCTCATCGAACATCTTGTCTTTGCCCTCCTTGAACAGTTTGATGGCCTGTTTGCACTTTCGCATTAGATTGATAATAAATACGTTGAAATACTCGATGCTATGCAATGCCGACATGTTGTCCTCATACTTTGAGTAGATGAGCCGCAGTCTTTGATAGGTATCCGGTAGAATATCCAGAATGAATGGAGGTGAATTTTTCAGGTTCATTCGCTGGTGTTGGCACAGTTTGACCACTTTGTCCATCAGTTTCCATGTTTTGTCTAAAGTCCGTTTGTCGGTCGCGAACTTCGGATGGGCCACAGCGTCGGAAAAAGCCCCTTGGAGCTTGGAAAATATCGTGGAAAAATTCTTATGCTGCATGGGCCGATTTCTACCTGACATCGTGATTGTTACGAACGGTTTGCACGTTTGCCCCTGACGAAAATCACATCACGCACCACCACATCATCCGATCGCCAACTTAATTCACATTATTAGTTATTAATGTTTTCGATTGAGTACCGTAGAATCCATTGGAGTAAACAACCATTCACGAAATTGCTGCAAACAGTGCAAACACGGATGTCATTTTCTTCCTCGCCTTGAAGTTTCAAAGGACGCGCCAACAGGACCGCATTATAACGGTACTATCGGATTTTTCTCTCCAGCTCCATTCACTTGCTCTGAGCCTTACTGCAGGCCGCGGGATTGTTCCCCCAAAATTATCCTTCAAGCTGCATCAACTTCGTCAAGTTCCAAGTGCGACAAAAGTAATTTAACGCACTTGAAAATCCGCTGGTGAAAATGCGTCGAGTTCGGCCCTGGATAAGCGAAGGTTCCCATCGTTGCCTACTACCACGCAACCAGACACCGACGACTGCCGCGCGGGTTGCATGTATTGGACAAATGGTTAAATCACAGACCAGTTCTTTGAAGTTTTTTCTCTAACATTCCAATATCCTGGAAAAATGCGCAATTTTCCAACACTTCTGCAATTTTTTTAGTTCCTTTTTATATTTCCACCGAATTAAGTCTTGGCAGTCTATATCCGCGTCTCTTTCCCACTCATCTGGCTCTTTTCCTGCATCCATGCCTGCACCCTTCACCAGGAATCAGCTGACTTTGATGCAGGTTGTCAAATAATCCAGTGTCACACATCGCTTAAACAGGTAATCGATTTAGGCCACTTTATTGATATTTTCCTGCAACCTGATATAAACACGTCGATTTCAATCTAGTCTTTGAACTGTTTTGTAGAGTCCCGGCCCGATTGCTGCACAAATCATGGACAGTAACAAGGACGAAGCCTTGAGATGCATTGAGGTTGCTCAAAAGTACATTAAAGAGAGGAATAAGGGAAAAGCCCTCAAATTCCTCAATAAAGCCGAGCAGTTGTTCCCCACTCAACAAGCTCAAGGTATAAAGTACATAATAACAAAGCATTTCATGACAATCATTGCATAAATGCGTTGTCTTTTGCGCCTTCGAGGAAACCTCCACATCCAGTTTCGAGTTATTATTTGAAGCCTTAAGAAGGTGGAACGTAGATGATGCTGGTGTAGATACTGCTGATTTTCCGGGCTAGACATGTACGTCTATGAGCGTTGATTGCTCGTTGCAAGTCAATATTTTGAGATTCTGACTTTGTCTAGGTGTTGGGGGATTAGTAGGATCATTGGGGCCATTTTGTCTGACAAATCAATTCAGCTCTGCTGGTTCTAAGTCACTGTGAAAGAACCAGAAGGATTCTTCGGGGGAAAGTTCCCTTCGTCGCTTTATCATCAGTTTAAAAGTTTTGTCTTGTTTTTCAGATCTTTTGCTGCAAGTATCTATAATGCCAGATAACGTGGAAACTGAGCAACCGCGAAAGCGAAAGCTCTCCGTTCCCCGAGACGCGTCGCCAAAGAAGCCCGAATATACATCAGAGCAGGTGGCTCTAGTGAAGCGAATAAGGCAAGATTACAGTAACTTCTTCCAGCAAAAAAACAGCGTTGCTCAATAAGGAATATTCTAGGGCCTGCAAGGATTACTACGAAATTCTGTGCATCAGTAAAGATGCCACGGATAACGAAATAAAAAAGTCGTATAAGAAAATCGCGTTGCAGCTGCATCCGGACAAAAATCGGGCACCAGGCGCAGATGAAGCTTTCAAGGCAGTAGGTGAGGAAACCCTCAATTTCCGTGAATTTCTGTGGGTAATGTAAATTCGGTGTTCTTGCAGGAAATGCCGTCGCAGTGCTCACAGACGTAGAGAAGCGCAAGCGGTATGATTTGTATGGCAATGACGAGGAAAGAGTTAGCAGACACAGCAATCAGCAATACAGCCGCGGGTTCGAAGCAGAAGTGAACCCTGAAGAGTTATTCAACATGTTCTTCGGAAGTTCGTTAGGAAATCCGGTTTACATGCGAAGAGGGGGCAGATGGCACCGCCACTATGAGGAACCGCCATCGGAGCGGCGCCAAAGAAGAGAAGTAAGCCCACGATGGAGTTTTGGCAATTTTATAGAATCGAGCCCCTGTTTTAGAACCGCACTGAAAACATGTCGGCGATCACCCAGCTTTTGCCCATTTTGCTAGCGGTTTTTTTATCTATGGCATCCAGTATGTTTATGTCTGAATCGCCTTATTCGCTAAGCCCAAATACGTAAGTAACCGACTGTTAGTGTAAGTGTAAGTAGTTCAAAGTGTCCATTTCCAGGAAATACACTGAGCTAAGAAAAACCAACGAGTTGCAAATTCCCTACTATGTGAAGCCCAGTTTCCACGACGACTATCCGGGATCCCTAAAGCGGCTCGAGCAGCTCGTTCAAGAGGACTTTGTGCAGAGCATGAGGCTGCAATGCACCAAAGAAACCAAATTCCGTAAATGTTTTGAATTTGTTTTTTACACCGTGTGGTTGAGTGTAGCCAAATTACTTCGCAAACTCAAACACTTTCTAATGATCGCGGATGAGGTCAATTGAACAATAAAACTAACATAATTCCCTGCCTTAGAGAACGTTTTTATATCTGTTTGGCGTCACTGATTGAGCTTTTATGTCTGTTGAGCCCATCCAGGTGAACAGCTTTAAAGGGGGCTAATCTGAATCTAATGCCAGTTCTTTTTGTGTTGTTCTTTAAGGTGAAACCATGATCTGGAAAAGCAAATTCTCTAATGATCCTGAGAGCTATCGGAAGGCGGAGCGGCTGAAGACTCCGTCCTGTTCGGTCATGGACAACCTAAGGAAATTCCGGCATCCGTGAAGACGTGCTTAAACTTCTATTTGTTAGGGAGCGGTTTGTTTTAATGTATTCGTCAACGAAATTAAGGTAATATTGACAATGAGACGTGATTTTGCCATTCAATTAGAGGGGAAAATGCTTTATGGTTTGCATTTAGTTAATATATCAAGTTCAAGTTCATTCTGTATCAATTTCCAGGCATTGCGGAATGAGGGTGGGAGGAGGTTTTAATGTTTAGGGGCATACCAAAGCAATTCTGTTCGGGGGTAGATTTTCCAATATAAACATATGCAACGTTACTAGAAGTAGATGAGCACTTTCAAGTCACATTACCAGTCACAAATGTTTACAATTAAAAATTCTCCGTCGGGAGAAGACCAATTCAAACTTACTCGACATTTAATTAGCCGTTAAATGTATAACATGTATTTAGTAAATTAGTAATAATGGTAAAATGTAGCCCTGTAAAATTCTTTTCTAATTTTTTCCAGAACGTTTAGAAATGAATTTTATGTTAAATATTAATTTAAAAAGTTAATCAATATCGCTAGTCAAACCAGCCGGTTTTTTATTTCTACAACCTGCACCCGATTCATACATTTGTCTTATTTTACTGCTAAAGTTGGAATACTATTCATCATCGTCCATATAGTGAAACCTCTTGATGGGTTCCTCGTCCTCTTCGCTCGAATCATCATCAGCGTCTTTTCTGCAAATTAATTTAAAGAATCAGGCTACACATCCGAAGAGTCTGGAACCGATTAGATTTGGCTTGGAAAAATTACTGATGATGATAGAATAGGCATGCTATTAAGCGCTAATCTAACCATGTCCTACCATTTTAACGCAAAATGCGTCCGTTTTGAAAAAAGACGTATTTGCCAACACAGATATTAGTAAAATCGGGGTTTTCCCTCTTTCTACTGAGACACAACACATAGTTCAACATCCTAAAAGGGTTACAGGGTGTTGATTTTAGTGACTAGTAAAATTGGCGCTTACCCGTATTCCTTTCTCCCGTTTTTGTGCAATCGCATTATTCGCATATTGCCGTTGTCTTCCTTCTTCTTTTGCTTCTCATGCTGGAATTTAATACTGTATTTTATTTTCTTTTGCTTTTTGCCCTTCGGCTTCACTTCTTCACTGGAGCTGTCGTTTTCTTCACTGCTGCTATCATCGTCGATGTTTTGCCAGCAATCAGCTTTGGCTTTTTTGCAAACTTTTGCTTTCGGATCCTCCTCACTGGTTACGTCCTGGATGTCTTTGCGCCTTAGAATCTTCACTTTTCCATGCTCGATTCGGGCGATAATTTTTTTGTGCTCTTGAGGCTTTTCTTCCCTGGTTTCCTCCTCACTGGAATCAGCGTTGAGGCTTTTTTTGTTTTTCCTTCCAGGGTCTTTTGGTTGCTGATGGCTTTGTCCAGGTTTTTGCGCATTTTTTGCAAGTTCCTCGTCATTCATTGGTCTGTTTCGGGAATTTCCCTCTTTGGTTTTGGTTTTTTGATAGGGATTTTCATCGTTGTATTTCCACTTTTTATCTGCGGTGGTAAAAGACACTATCAGACAGAGCATGAACAGGCTCCCATAAATAGTATAAGGCCTGAAACAAGACAATTGATCTTTCTCTGCTTAGATATATGAAGATTTGGGTGCTTACCGCATTTTCTAGGCGCTATTTACCCTATCACTGGGCACATATTAAGCTTGTCGAAATCCCAATTTGCTGATTTTCTCCAAGTCCACATTATTCACCAATGACTGTTTACATTTCCTCAAATCCCATAAATACGCCAAGAATAACCATTGAACGCAACATTAAACCCGCGTACTTTGCACAAAGTCACCGATCTATTTCAATTTTTTTATTACTTTATTGTCCAGTACGGATTATATAAAGTATTACATGCGGAAAACGTCGCCATACAAAACTTAAAATAAACCAAAAGGTGTATTTCAGTTAACCAAGTGTTTAATTAGCCTTACCGGTTTTAAAATACGCGAGATCATAGACGTGACTTTATCTGAATCTTGGTATTATATTTCAGTTTTTTTGGTAAATTTTTCGGTGGTTGTATTTTTTATTATTTGGGAAAACGGACAATTGCAAGGCCGTTTTTTACGAGAAAATTGATCAGACCGTCCTTTCAATCAATCTGATTTTCCATCAAATTCAATGATTTTCTGTTAGTTAGATATTCAAAGTACGTACTCAAATTCTCTCACTTTTCGCCTAGAATCACATTTTGGAAAAATTTTAGGAAAAAATGTTGACCAATTCTCACTTTAAATCGCCTAAAATTAAGCAATAACTATAGATTACCAACGCTTATTAAACTGAGGCAAAACAGAATTTCACCGCCAAATTTTGCCATTTTAATTTAATCCACCAAAAAACAACATTTCCTGTATGCTATTTTATGATTATTGTATTGACTTTTGCGCGCATTTAATATCGTAAAACGATGTAGATCGGTAAAAGCGGATTTTAGGTAATTTTAAGCAAGAAGCTATAGTCGAATGCGCATTTTCAATATCTAAATCATAAAAATAACCATTGAAATTGATCAAAACGTAAAGATTTTTCCAACCCGGACACACACACTATAGATGAAAACGAATAGAAGCAAAAAAACCAACAATAAAGTAAAAGCGCGGAAAAATAGAGCAAAAAACTGTATTTTATTTGTGTCTAGCTTCAGAAGTTTTTGTACATAAGTTTTCTATCAGCAGTTTTTCTGAAGATTTTTATCCAGCGTTCTGCGGTGTTGAGCGCCTGTGTTTGCAAACTTTCTTGTACAACAAAGGCGGTGTCATCCGCATGTCCCAAAGCGTATAAATGGCTGAAATGATCGTAACAATCTGGAATGCCCGATCAAACAACCGATTAAGAAACTTTGAAACAACAATCAATAAAAAGGTGGGGTTTATGTTAAATTTTTCCACAATTCCTGCTGAAGCTACGCCAATGGCTTCAGATGGCCATTATTTATATACCAGACTTGTCGTCCGAAATATCGAGGTATTTTTAAATTCTCCTGGCAGCAGGTTATCCAGATGACGTCGCCAGCACATAGTAGGTACATCAATGCGTTTGCAATAATATCAAATAGATTAGCAAACAATCAAAGGCCTGATTATTTATTATTCCAAGCGACAAACTTGGCTGCAAAAAGTGATGAATAGACTGGCCTGAACTCGAGTTCGGAAAGCGCCAATTTGACTGCGGTGTCTTTGTTCCACACACATAAACAGGCCGGATCTAAAAATACGTTCCAGATTCTGGATCTCACTAAATTCCTGGCTAAAGCCACTAGTGTTCGATCCCGATCCGCCTGACCAATAGCTGAGTGTTTTTGTGTTTAGCCTGATTTTGCGTGAGTTTTCCACGATTTATTTCCAATCTTCACCATGTCTTTGAACTTTCGTTTGGCACTTTACGGTCTTCCAAACCGCAAATCTGCTACAGTACAGATTCTCTAGATTCTATTTGACCCCGCGCTATTTTTAAACTGTTTTTCCATGTTACCTTGAGTGCTTTAGTTTGCAGTAAAACCACCATTAAATCGGGATCAAGATGTTTTTTTGAGGAAACGGCCGTCCATATTGGCAG